TGGCCGCCTCATTGGAGGAAAAGCTATGCTTGTCACCAGCTCGGTTGCAAGTCACGCGGAACTTCATGATTTTAGCGCCGGGTGCTGCTTCTTCAGAGTCCTGCGTGCTGGTGGTCTCAGTGTCAGTTGCCTCCTCGGTCTTGTTTAGGCCATCAGAGAGAGGCGCTTCCTCAGCTTGCTCCTGAGACTCAGCGCAAGCCACGGTTGCGTCTCCAACCTCATCGCTGGGTTTGACGTTGGCGCCATTGGCTCCTTTGCGTTGGCCTTTTCTCTTTTTGAAAGTGCGGTTTAGTTTCCACACCTCCAAGGCGTTAGTCCATGGGAGCTTGGAGGCAAGCTGCTGCAGCTCTGCCAGTGTTTCCTCCTGGATAAAACATGTGCAGAGCTTAATGGAAGTACAGAATAAATAGGGTGTAGGCAAAACTCTTTATTTAAAGATATAATAAACTAAATTATTTTAAGCAAATGGGAGAAATTAATGTTTGTGGTATGAATATAGCCAGAGGCTAAAATTTATGTTAAACTGAGAGTGTTTCACTCCTCATATTAAATTGGATTTTTTCCCCCCCTTACTTTAGCTACCTTCCCTCTCCAACATAATTCCTTGGCACAAAGATGCCGTCAATGCACTCGTTTTAAATTACGTGAAACTTTGTCACCATCTTGTGGCATTTTATGGTGCTTCAGAAAGCGTGTAAGAACAGTGAAACATTATTTCTCTCGTTTTTGTTGTTGTTGAGCAAACAGGATCCAAAAGGGTAACACTGTATCTAGGTATGTCAAAAGAGGCTTAATGTTTTTCCCTTAAATATTCTAATTCTCTCCCAAATATAAATGAAAAAGATTTGACACAGAGATATCAATTTAATACTTATTTTTTTCAGTATTATTATTATTAAGGTTGTATTTTGTAGGCATGTGTCCATTACCTTAGATTCTTTAAATTCATACTGATCATAGTCCTCTACAACCACAAACAGGTTGTCCACAGACCTCAGCAGGTGAACCTAAAGGGACAGTTGATTAAGAGTTAACTGACAGAGGCATAACACAAACAACAGAATTTTTCCCCATTAAGCACGCGTCTCACCTGGAAGAGTTTGTCAGTAGTAATGGTGAAGTAAATACGACCACGGTCTTTGCTTATACGCGCTTCGACGCCGATCTTCTCGTGAACCTCCTCGGCAGCGGTATGTTCGAACCCTGTGGGTACCGTCGCTCCAATGGTGACGCTAATGATAGACTCGACCTTAACAGACTCTTCTTCCGGGGAGATCATGTCCGTGGGTCTCCTGTCACAAAACATTTGGCTCATGAAGGTGGAAAATGATGATGATCATTCTACTGCACGCAGGTGTTAGTACGCTGGTGTGTGTGTCACCACAAGCCTGTAAAAATACTAATCACTACTTTTTTTGAAAGGCACATCAATGTGCGCGGATGGTATTTATCCGTTCAAATGTGTTTCGATGTGAAGTTTAGTGTGTCTATCAATTTAAATTGTTTCAAACGTGTGGGAAGTGTAAAACTGTTCAGATTCATTTGGTCTCAGTATATATGGACCACGGCCCAATTTTTAATCTGTACTTCATTACAGAGTATTGTCGGGTTATATTTCCACTTCGGATCGATAATTACACTTTACAGTTAGCATAAGATTGCAATGTTACTGAACTGCAATGCATTTTTCATTGCACGTTAGATTAACTTGCTAATGCTAGTTTTGAGATGCTAGAAGGAAGTTATCACGGGCAAATGAGGACGCCGGTTCAATTAAATAATGCGCTGGTTTCACCAATAAGTGTGTCAATACGATGAATTTACCGTCGTGAGTCGTCAATCCTGAAAGCAATCTTTAAAACGTGTTGCAGATAAAGCTTGCCAAATAGACGTAGTCACGCACGAAAAGACGTTTTTGCTTGTTGCTATTATTCACGGGAATAAAGCATACTTCCGGTAAAAGACCTTCGTATTGTACATAGACTGTTTCCCGAAAGTAAATAATCATTGTAGTTAGTGTGAATATTATTCGGACTTTAAAGCAATACATAAGTGTACTCACATGATATGAGGTTAAGATAATGTTGTTTTGTAAATGGAAAAAAAATTGCCCCAAATATATTTTATTCTGTAAATCAAAAAAGCAAGCAGGAAGTGTGGGGTCTAACTGGCCGTGAAGTAATTTGAATTTGTTTCTGTGTGAATTCGCGCTTGGCAATCGATAGAGGGCGTCAGAATATAATTCTTGATTCTTGCCATCCGAAAAAAGTTTCCAGTATAGTACTTAGTTTAAATCAAAGGCCAACTTAAATGTTGGAAGGGGCTACAATTTTTCATCAGTTCGAGTGGGGAGCCACATAGAACTACGTACTACCTAACCAGATGCATGACAAAAATGCAATTTCATATATGGACAAAATACTGTACTTGCAAAATATGTGCTCTTAATTTATTTCATTTTTGATTAAACATGTTTTTGCATGCAAAAAGATTCACCACCAAACTACGTAATACAGTATTTCTTTTGTGTATCAAAGGCTCTTTTGTATAAAAATTACCATTCAAGCATGGCATAAAACCACTGAACAAGAAGCCAATATTTGTACATTTTCCCCACAATAATCTTTACATTCTGACTGATGTATTATGATTATGATGATACAGTTCCACCCAAATGCTTGCTCTCTGTGATGTCCTCTCAGTTTTCCTATTTTATAAGAATGCGACTTTGTAGCTCCCATGCATAGTTTCCAAGATGCACTTTGAATGAAAGTCAAAAATCATATTTGACTTTTTGCATCACCATCATATACAAACATTCTCCAACTTTTATTTGAGGTCATCATCATTCTCTCCAACTGTTCAGTGTGAAATCTGAGTGGGTGTGTGAGTGGGTGTGTGTCGATACAAAAGAATGAAAAGTTCTGAGCAGCAGATGGCTGGCGCGCGCTCCATAAACATTGAGCATTTAATGAACACAGTTTCAGAAGCAACATTTTTCAAGAAGAATTTGGAAAGACCTCATGTTTCATTGCTTATTGCACGTGGTAAAACATCAAATATTGATTCAGGTGTTCACGTGGTCAAGTAGAAGATTCAGTTACAGTGATATGTGGCCACTTCGGCAGTGTTTACACAAGAGCCAGCTCCATGAGAGCATTTGAGTGATGACAGTATAAATCAGAGTCAAGGTAGCGTCACAGACAGCAATGGCGGTTGTCAGCTCCTCGTGGATCCTTGTCTTGCGCTTGGATCAGTTCTTCCAAAAGATGTGACGCAACGTCCACTGGCATTTTAGTCTTGAGGCTTATTTCATTCAATGTCAGGCATTTTCTACTCATCTGTGTCTCCATGTTGCATCAACATCTGAAGGGGTGTTCACAATACACTCATCCATTTCACAACAAATTTGGGCATTTTGGTGAATCATTATTTTCTCACTGTTAAAACAGCACAGTGGTTTGCATCGTTGCTACGCAGTTACTGGTATGTGGTTCTTGGTTTGCGTTTGGGAGGCAACAGTCATATGTGGAGTTTGCGTGTTTAAACCTTCATGACAGGTTCATTGTAAACTAGAGAAAAAAAATGATATATGCTAAGTCATTCTACTTTGCCATTTGCCATCTATTATTTCAGTTACACAGAGCTGTTTTTGACAACATAATTAATACAATGGTAAGGGTGAGTCAGTATCCCATGATGGTATTTGTTTCACTTTCACAGAGTGGGACAAGGCCAGTTTCCACACTTATTTTTTAGAAAGGAGGAGGTAACGGGATCTCATAAAGGTTTTTTGTGCAACAAAAGTCAAGTCGCAGCTTTCCAGTCTTCTCTCCTGAGATTCCTTGAGAGAAAGAGATGGGTGAGTGAGTAACAGAAGGCTTGTGGGAGGAATCAACGTATTCTCTGCTGACTTCTTCGATGTAAACACAAAACTCATGAGCCACACTCTGGCTGTTTTTGTGGCTTTCCAGTAGGCTGAACAAGTGTCTGCTCGCTCTGAATGACTCTCCTGGAACGCGCAGCTGATGCATGAAGCCCCTAAACCAGGGGGGTCCAAACTCGATCCTCAAGGGCCGCTGTCCTACCTGTTTTTCATCACTTCCTGCTGCAATACACCTGATTCAAATGATCGGGATCGTTATCATGCTTCTTCAGAGCTTGCTGATGGACCGGAGCTGGATATGCCTGTGGCCAAAACTAATTGATCATGTTGTGGTTGCTCTGTTAATTGGCATTGTTTCAGTTCTTGATACTCATCGTGGTTGGTTGTGGAATAGAATTTTTTTTTTTTTCAGTAGAGTGAATGTCATGGGTTCAAATCTGGCCCCGGCTTTCCTGTATGGAGGTTGCAAGTTCTTCCTGTGCCTGCGTGCGTGCGTTTTCTCTCGGTACTTCAGTTTCCTCCCACGTTACAAACACATGCATGGTAGGTTAATTGATCACTCTAAATTGTCCCAAGGTGTGACTATGACTATGAATGGTTGTTTGTCTATGTGTGCCCTGTGATTGGCTGGCAACCAAGTCGGGGTGTACAAAGTCATAATGTGTAAAAAAACACAAAAAAACCCAACAACAACAACAACAACAACATTGTTTTAAAAGGATAGTGCAGTTATTATTTTATATTTGTGTCTATTTTAAATTCATCCACTATTAAAAAAAACAAGGGAATTAGTGGTTATTCACCATTCACCTACTCTTACTCAAGTAATTATTTGGAGGAATACTTTTTACTTTTGCTTGAGTCATATTCTTAAGTATCAGTCACTACTCTGACTTGAGTTTAATTTTTGCCTTGTCTGCCCACCTTGATGAATATCCCTTCACGTTGATCAGATGACATGATGATCTTATTCATGGTACAGTATTTAAAATGGAGGCGTGTGTAGGTCGACAGGTATGAGGTTACTACTGATTGTGCCGAGACTGGCTTGTGCGTGCACGCGTGTACGTGATTCCATCTGACCACGTGACATTCTCTCTCTCTCTCTCTCTCTCTCTCTCTCTCGCCGCAGTTCAATCAGACAGCCTAGAGGCGTCGGATCATTGCAGGCTTCTTCACACACAGGGAGCACCAAGCTGACTCCCCACCATTTCTCCCCTCTCCCCCGGCTAACATGTCCACTTTCGAGCTCCTTTGTGGCTTTTGTTTCTCCCTCTGACTCCTCTGCCCACCTCCCCGTCGCTGCTGGATTAAATTAAAAAGAGAGCGAGCGAGAGAGAGAGCAATGCAACATCGAACCCGAGTGCTCTCCCCTTACTGATTGCAACGATTGTCTCCCAAGCGCAAGCCGCTTTTGTTCAGCGAGGAAACGTCGCAAAGGTCTGCATCCACTGCGAGAAACGCGGCGCGGAGCCACTGGAGCTCTCGATTTGGAGGCTCTCGGCCATACAACCAGGAGAACCATGTCCTCATCCAGGTTCAAGAAGGATAAAGAGATCATTGCGGACTACGAGACCCAAGTGAAAGGTGAGCGCGCGTGCGTGAGCGCCACGCGCATTCACGTTGACGAAAACGCACACACCTAACCTAACATCGTTTGGCTTGGACTTTTTTTAAATGGTTGTCATTACTTTTACGTGGAAGCACTCCCACCTTGCAGCTAAACCGTGAACATCAGTGACAAGACCAACAGATCTCAAAACCTGAAAATGCGTTCCTCTCACGCGCAAATGAACGTTCTGGTGCATTCATCCAAAGGCAGTTGGATTTTTGTGGTGGATGATGACCTGCCTCTGCACGCTCGTGTTGCCGGGTAAAATCCTGTGTGGAATAAGTGTAGGGCGGCTGCATGGCTGCACCTTCTTCACCATATCTTGGGGCCCTCTGTTTCGCTTCCAGCACCGATTCAGGGGATGCTGATTAAAGGATTGTTCATAGTGAATGAAATGTGACTCATACATTTTTATTTCATGAGAGGTGTCAATGGTTTTGGGTGGGTCAGGCTGAGAAATAACCCAACTCTGATCACGTTTTGACACGTTTAGACATAATTGATCATACTGAGCTGTTATCCTTTACATTGACAATATGCACTGCTTTTTCCTTAAGGATGTTTTGGTGAGTGAGCTCACTCGGAATCATAATTAGGGGTCATCTGATTAATTTAGAGGACACAACTTGTGATTGTGTGTTATACTCAAACAAAGCAGATACATAATTGTGATCGAAGCTGATACATAATTGTGATCGAAGCTGTTTATTGTATTGCATTGCCACATGGAAACCATTTGAGACACCTGTAATCCATTGGATAGCACTTACATCTTTATAGACCAATTAGAGGTGCTACAAAAAAACGATAGCAATAGATTGCTCCACTGACTTAAACAATGGAGGGGGCCACAATTTTTTTCTGAGCGTACATGACAGAGTATGTGCATATTTTTTTATTTGAAAAAAAAATGTGCAGAAGAGTATCGCAAAAACATCTTCATTTAGAAAAAAAAAATCAAATTTTGGCTCAAAATGACCCGAGAGTGAACCAACTTGAAGTGCAAGAAATCATTTTGTGCACATGTTCAGAAAACTCAAGTTTACCCTGGAGGTCATTTAAAATCCCCAAATGAATATGCTGGCTCACTCACGTGACCACGTTATAATGCAGTGAAATTTATCCCCTCAGTACCCCTGTGCATCAGCACGAGTCCCCCCATACATCCCCAAAAGCCGCTTGTCCAAGTAAGATACCATATTTGTTTGTCATATTATTAAATGTTGAATATACCGACGAGGACCCCAATTTTGTAACTCGTCATGCACTTCAAACGAACTGTCAACGGTTCTTGTGGGGAGAGAAAAATAATCGTTGTTTGTGTACTTTTGAGACTGGTGTTGTAGTGGCAATTTAGGTTGAAATCTTTCATGACTGATACTGTCGCTAAGCAAACTGGACAGATGGGTTTGTGTTTAAATTTGGAAAACGTATAATCTGCTTCCTATTTTACCTAAAATACACAGTTTTCTTGACCTAATTTATCCTGGCCTCTGGCCAGAAACCACTTTATCTTGTTCATTGATATAGGCTTGGATATGGATGCATTCTTTAGTCTGCCATCTGTTGGAGAACACTGATATTACAACTTAAAACTGCTTCACTTCAGTAAATGTTTTAAAAAAATTTACAAGCATTTTTTTTTTTTTTTTTAAATTTTACAAAATTAATACAGGGCCACTCTGAACGTGTGGGTTACCAATTGCTTATTACCCCTCAGGTGCAGATTTAGCACCTCAAAGTGTGAGTGCTTGGTTATTTTCTTTGAGAAAACGCCACCATATCGATGTCCATCTTATTTTCCTGCCCACTGCTTTACCCGATGCCTGTTTTGATCATTCTTACATCAATGATTCAGCTCAGATGCCACCGTGCCGGTAATGTAACTCTTTTGTTTTCATCCCAGGCCCCGTCTGGCCCATTTTGCGTTAGCCGGGGTCCTTGAACGACACGAGGAAGAGGGATGCTAATTTATGGGTAATTTGTCATTCATCGCTCGTGCGTTGCATCGACTGCAGACACGGAGGGCTCTCCACCTCCTCACAACAATGGCCTCGTTTGAGATGAACCAGCCAGTGAGTAAGCGCTAATGAGATTCACATTGGAAATTGCACCAGTCGTATTGTGACTTATGGCTTAATGGTTCATGTGGACACGCCAGAAGGGGCCCTTGTCATCCTAGTGTCATTGATTGGGTCGTTTCAAGATCACGAGGTTGCTTTATTATGTATGAGACCTAATAAGTGAGTGACATGAACAACAACAACAAAAAAATCGGTAGTGCAATATCAAAGCAGAATGTGGCAAGTGCCAAGAGAAGTGAACACCATGAAGTGAACTTCATTCATATAATTGTAAAGCGCAACAAAACGGCAAAGTCAAAGCCTCCTTCGCTTTATTCGAGTCATTCAAACTGCCACATCAGGCATTTCCATTTCAATAGCGAGGCTGGTTAACTGTGACTGGCTTGGAATGCCGTGCGCTTATAGCACTGTGGAGCTCTGCCCGCTTTACATTTTAGTGGCATGCTCTTGAGCTGCACACACTTCCTCTAATTTGCTGGTGTCAAACTCAAGGCTTCCAGGCCTCTGGAAGCTTGCTATGATTTTTTTCCCCCCTAAACTAGCCATAAAGTTATAAAAATCAAATGTGGAATGATGGGCTGATTATTAGAGTTCACAAAAAGGGACAAGAAGTGTCACTGCCTCACACTTGTGTGGACGGATGTTTATGCCTCCTTTATCCCAGTCAAGTGTCCCTTCAAAATGCTGTGAATGCCCCCTCGCAGGTGAGTGCATGCCCCCTGCATGCCCCCTGCCACATAATCAAGCAAATACTGAGCAATCAATTAATGATGAATTGATGATGTCCTTCCATATCTCAATCTGGGCACCTTGCTTGTATTCATATTAAAAAGTTCAAATTAACATAAACATTTTTATTGGGTATATACATCACAATGACTCCAAATACATCACAATGACTCCAAATCCTCTCTCTCTCTCTCTCTCTCTCTCTCTCTCTCTCTCTCTCTCTTTTCATATATATAGTATTTTAATTTTAGCGTGAGCAGGCTTATCGATTCTGTTTGCCATTTTTCTCGTGACTACTACCATTAAAATGGAGCACTCATTTGTTTGATTAGAGTGCACTCAAATTTGGCTCTGGTCAGGTTTCCTGGTACACATTACCTCTGGGAGTAGTATCTGACTTTTTTTTTTTTAATCCATTCTAACCATTTTTTTAAAACTATGTTGGACTAAAATTTATTTTGCATGTTTTCATACAGGAGTCAAACAGCTTCTTTGATCTGGAAAATAAATGAAAGCTCACTGATGCTGTAGTTTTGAGATTACACACACACACACACGCACACACACACGCGCGTGCGAGGTGTTTCTGACAAGGAAGCATGTTTTGACACTTTTACGGTTCTGCGTGACTTCCTCGCTGGGAACTGCTTTGTCTCCATGGAAGGCAGAGAAATCATTTGGTGTCACTTTTAGGAATCCTTTAGTCCGCCAAGCAAAGCCACGATAAAGCCTATATTCAAAATGTTTTTTTTTTTTGCCTCGGTTTGCAGTTCATGGAAAAACACCATTCTGGCCTATCATTGCATTTGGATATTTTACAGGGAAATTAACCTTTCACTTGCACAATGGTGAGCTGAGGCTTGAATGACTTCCTCTATTAAGTGAACGGTTCACTGTGTTCACAAGGCACTGAAAGTAAGTTAGTGTGGACAGCCCGTGGTCACTTTGCAGACGGCATGCAGAGACGTCGTCTCGAGTCTGTTGACGTTACTGCACAGCTGATGAAGGGTCTCTAGATGGGAGTAGGGTGGTGAAAACATGCCTGAACAAACTTTGTGGCTCCATAAAACCATCTAGCAACCACATCAAGACAATAGCCTTGTGGTGGACCACCTTCTTTTTGCAATTATATATTTTAGCTGCCGTTACAGCTTGACCCGAAAGAGTTGGGCCCACAGCTAACTGACTGACGTGGATGCACCTGACTGAACTAACATACATCTACACACGCGTGTGTGTGTGTGTGTGTGTGTGTGTGTGTGTGTGTGTGTGTGTGTGTGTGTGTGTTTTGTGACGGCCACTCGAATCCCAATTTGATTCGCAACCGATTCATGTGCATTGTGCAGTCCTACTGCAAACAATTTTTGTTGGAAACGACCTTGTGATACAATATGGTATTTTGGATTGGCCGTTGGACTCCATGGACTCCATTTACCTGCAATTTCAATTTTGAAGTGCACAAAAACTAGATGTCGACGATAGGCCCATCCATCCATCCATCCATTTTCTGATCCGCTTTATCCTCACAAGGGGCATGCTGGAGCCTATCCCAGCTGTCTTCGGGGCAGTAGGCGAGGGACACCCTGAACCGGTTTCCAGCCAATCGCAGGGCACACAGAGACGAGCAACCATCCGCGCTCACACACACACACATCTATGGGCAATTTCGAGTTTTCACTTAGCCTGCCATGCATGTTTTTGGAATGTGGGTGGAAACCGGAGTACCCGGAGAAAACCCACGCAGTCACGGGGAGAACATGTAAGCTCCACACAGCAAGGCCAGAGCCGGGATCGAACCCACGACCTCTGCACTGTGAGGCCGACGCGCCAACCAGTCGACCACTGGGCCGCCCCCGACGATAGACCACCCATCAAAACTAGTTGCAGAACACTCCCTTTTGTGCAATCATTCAGGCGCATTGCGTTGTGTCTTTCAGTGTGAAGCAGGCCTGTGATGGAGGCAGCTGCCGCTATTTAACTGGCTGTTTTTCCCCACACATAATCAGCCTTTTCATTGAATGACAAAGATTAGCTTTTCACACGGCCTCAATCGTCTTTAGGGTTGTGTGCGGGCATTCATAAAGGAGAGAAGTGTCAATTTAACACAGAAGTGGTGTCACTCGCTTTCTATTTTTGGGTACCAGTTGGTTCATGTTCACACT